GAAGTCGTGCAACTATTCCAGGTTTTCTGTTTTTTTCACTTCATATACTTTTTCTTTTTCATTATTTTCTTTAAGATAGTGTATTTCTATTATATGTAGTTTAGTTTCTGATTTCTAAATAATTTATCTTTTCTATTAACTATATTAAACTATTGCTAAAATCCATTTAATGTTGCAGATCATGTGTATAAAACAATCGATGCCTTACCTGTAACAGCTCATCCAATGACTCAGTTTACAACTGGTGTTATGGCTCTTCAGGTTTATATAAAACTATACTTTTTGGAGATTTGAGAATTATGGTTCAATTATTTATATAGTAATAATAATAATAATAATAATCCCTGTGTTATATATAAACCTCAAGTTACATTTCAGTTATACCTCAAAATGTAACTAACTACTAATTATTGTCTTAGGTACAAAGTGAATTTTCAAAAGCATATGAGAAGGGTATCCATAAATCCAAGTGAGTTTATTTGGAGTATTTATCTTGTTGAAAATTGAAATAACTTTTTTATTAATTAATGTAAATAAATATTATCCTGCTTTTATTTTAGATACTGGGAGCCTACATTTGAAGACTCTCTTTCTTTAATTGCTCAAGTCCCAGCTGTAGCTGCATATGTCTATCGCAGGTATATCCATATCACTATATATAGTTAAATAAGGTTTTTTTTTTTTTTTTTTTAAATTAATTGGTATAACAGGTTGAGTAAATTACACAAATGGTCCCTATAGTTTAGGGTAATTTGCGCGTTTAGTCCCTAACTTTTTTTTTTAACTCAGAAGGTCCCTACTGGTTGTTTTTGTTATGCGCTTGGTCTCTGTCTTACCTAAAAAGACTATTTTGCCCTTGATTTTTTAATTTATTTAAATAAACACACCCCCACCCCCTCACCTTATCTTACCTACCTCACCATTTTTCCCTATTTAATAGTCTTTTTAGGTAAGACAGGGACCAAGCGCGTAACAAAAACAAACAACAGGGACTTTTTGAGTTAAAAAAATAAGTTAGGGACCAAGCGTGCAAATTACCCCGAACCATAGGGACCATTCGTGTAATTTACTCTAATAGGTTAAGCACTTAATCTTAACAGCTATATTGATGGTTTTATTTTATGTAATGAAAATTTTCTTATGTAGCTATTAAGTTTGACTCTTTGACTTTTTTTTAAAGGATTTACAAAGGTGGAGAGAGGATACCTGTAGATGACACATTGGATTATGGTGGAAATTTTGCACATATGCTTGGGTTTGATGGACCTGAAATGCAAGAACTTATGAGGCTTTATGTTACTATTCATAGGTGAGAGATTGTGTCAAAATTCAATTTATTTTTATTTAGTTATATTGTTTAAATAAATCTATGCTTTAAATTTTATTGAAATATATATATAAATTATTGTAGTGATCATGAAGGTGGAAATGTCAGTGCTCATACTGGTCATCTTGTAAGCAAAGCATTTAACCCTTTTCTCAAGTTATTTAGAATGTTCTTTTTAGTTTTTTATATTCTGAAATTCAACAAACATATGTTATTTTTATTGTTAGATATAAAATTATTGTTTAATTAGTTTTGATTATTATTTAGGTTTCAAGTGCTCTCTCGGATCCTTATCTCTCATTTGCTGCAGCTTTGAATGGTTTAGCTGGACCCCTTCATGGTTTGGCTAATCAGGTATCTTATTTATTTATTTATTTTTAATTATATGCATTTTTTACACCTTGTTTTTGTTTAAGTTAAATGTGTATTTATGCAACTGTTCACCTTTTTATTCAACTTATGCAACAATGTATCATTTTCTTTATTGATTTATAGTTTTATACAACAATCCTTCACTTTCTTTAACAATTTAGAGCAAATTACGTGAATGGTCCCTATGGTTTAGGGTAATTTGTGCATTTGGTCCCTAACTTATTTTTTTACCTTGGAAGGTCCCTACGGTTTGTTTTTGTTACGCACTTGGTCCCTATCTTACCTAAAAAGGCTATTTTGCCATTGATTTTTTAATTTATATAAATAAGCACACCCCAACCCCACCCCACTCACCTTACCTTACCTACCCCACCATTTTTCCCTATTTACATAATAGTCTTTTTAGGTAAGACAGAGACCAAACGCGTAACAAAAGCAAACAGTAGGACCCTTCCGAGTTAAAAAAATAAGTTAGGGACCAAGTGCATCAATTACCCCAAACCTTAGGGACCATTCGTGTAATTTACTCAACAATTTATGCAAAAAATGATTCACTTTTTTAACAATCTATACAACTTAAACGAATTATACAAACCACATTTTAACAAATTTGTTGCATAAATTGGGGAAAAGGTGATTAATTCACAACCTTTCTCCTCCATGTTAATCAAAAAATCAAAAGTAGAATTATATTGTCTTGTTTTACATGTGAAGTGTAAAAAGATATTTATTTTTTGATTATTTGTTTTTTGTAGGAAGTTTTGTTATGGATAAAGTCTGTGGTGGCTGAATGTGGAGAGAATGTAACCACTGACCAATTGAAAGACTACATCTGGAAAACCTTAAACAGTGGCAAGGTAATAATACCATTTCACCATTTCTTTTAATTTTTAATTTATATTTAAATATATAAAATGTAGGTTGTTCCTGGATTTGGACATGGTGTTCTTCGAAAAACAGATCCCAGATACATGTGTCAACGTGAATTTGCATTGAAACACTTGCCTAATGATCCTTTATTTCAATTGGTCAGCATTTAATAATAAACTTATAATCTAATTATTATTATTATTATTATTTATATCATATCATATCAACTGTCTGACTTATATTAAATTAAACTTTTACAGGTTTCCAAACTCTTTGATGTGGTTCCACCAATTCTAACTGAGCTTGGCAAGGTGAGTTACTTTTTTTTTAAAGAAAAAAGTAAAAAAAAAAATTTAATAATGAAATTTAATCTGGAATTATGAATATATATATACAGGTGAAGAACCCATGGCCCAATGTTGATGCTCATAGTGGGGTGTTGCTTAACTACTATGGTTTAACTGAAGCAAGGTGAATAACTGAATATTCAACAATTTCTAACTTATTTTCATTTATTTCTTTACTATAATTTATAGCATCCTACTTTTAAAGAAATTTTCATTGCTATAATAAGAAAAAATTGAAGTAGGATGATGCTATAGTAGTTAATACACAAATATATATGAAATTAATTACATGGTTATATATAATTTTTGGTTATTAAACATTTTCAGATACTACACTGTTCTCTTTGGTGTCTCAAGGGCAATTGGAATCTGTTCTCAGGTTACCTCACTACTTTCAGTTATACTTCATTTAGTCCCCATTTAGAACAAAAGACATAAATGCCCTCCAAATTCTCATAATCAAATACACCCCTAGAAAGCTTGTCCATATGTGAAACGGACAAAATTGAAAGTTTTGATCCACCAAAAAAGGGTGGAAAAAGACGGGAATGCCCTCCATGTACTCGTTATTGAAAATAGACTTATGATTTTTGTTTGATTTTTTGTAGTTGATATGGGATAGAGCTCTTGGGTTGCCATTGGAGAGGCCAAAGAGTGTTACAATGGAATGGCTTGAAAACAAGTGCAAGAAGTGAAAAAAAATCTTTTGAGATTTTAAACCAAAAAAAAATATTTCCTTTTCATTTTTTATTAAATAAATGCAAATAATAAGAATTGCTGTAGATACGATACCATATACGGAAAGCCTTGATACTAGTCTTTGCTTATTTTAGAAGCATGCGGATAGTTTGTGTATTTGAGTACTATTGTATGGTTACGTGGCACACTTCCTTTGATGTAGTAAATTTACAATTTTATCCACATGTATTTGTATTTCCAGTTTTGCCTTGTGTGTAACACAAGGAAGTGGAAGTATAAGATTAAATCGTTATGGATTTTATGAAAGATGTGATGATGCAAGCAAATATTGCAAATATATAAAGAGGTTTTGGTTATAATACTCAAAACTCAAAAAAGTTATATGTATTTTTGAAAGTGTCTATTTTGATGCATTTCTCTACGTTGAACATGCTATTTATGCAACAATGTTTTATTTTTTTTACAACCGAATACATAAATGTGCTACTCTTTTATTTGTTATTTATGAAACAACTTTTTTTCTTTATGTCAATTTTTTTCTTTTACTAATTTATGTGACGAATTTTAGACGGTGTTTGAGGTTGTTTTTTGAAATAATTTATTAATTTATTGGTTTTTCAAAAATCTAATAATTCTAAAAAATACTTTGGTATCAAATAAGGACTTTAAAATGACTTTGGAACAACTAGAAAAACACTTTTTGATAAATAAGGATGAGTTGATGTTGTAAAAGCTTTTGGCTTATTAAAATTAAGATGACCTATATACCCCCCAAAAGCATACACTACTCCATTGTTTTCATAGCTTCTATTATTTTATTTTTATATGAACGTAATTTTAATATTATCAATGATTTAATAAAAAAATTATAAATTTTGCAAAAGAAATTTATACTATATATTTTATAAAAAATTATAATTTTTGTCCAAAAAAAACTATAAAATCTTAAATATTATATGTAAAGTAGTAAATGGTTATAAATACCTAAACATATCCTTTTTGTTCATTTTACATGTATAAACTAATCCAATTATTTTTTATAAAACAACTTACTAACATATAGGTTTTTACAACCATAAAAACTAATACAAACATTTTTCTTAAAAAAAAAAAAGCTTATTTTCATATCACTATAAATCAATAAACACTTTTGGAGTTATAAGCAATCCCAAACGCCCTGTTATTTACGTATTTATACAAATTTTCATTCTTTTACAAATTTATGTGCCAACTTTTAGTTATATAAGTATTTCTGCAATTTACACGAGTTATCCAACCTCAGCAAAATATTGCATTTCGTGGCCATAAAATGAAATTTCGTTGCATAATTCACATAAAAAAGCCATTTTTTTTTTTCTATTTATAAAATAAAAAAATAGTCTTTGGTTATTACATAAATGTACATTGAACCATTTTCTTAATTTCTACTCATTCAAAACGTATATCGTTAGAAACACATAGGTAAAAACAAACAGTTTTACTTAGAAACCAAAAGCAAGTGTGAGTTTAAAAATGTAACCAAAACCCATAACATCTCCACTTATTTTCCCCTATTTCAGTTCAATAAATATAATTATATCCCAAACAAATTATCATATTCCAAATCCAAAAGAAAAAACAAAACCGATTACTTTGAACCCTTTTCCTCCACTTTATCAATATCTTCAACAGATGCTGCAAAAATCTGCCTTTCATCAGAAGTCGCAGTGATAACAGGCATCCATACATCAGCAGTATCACTCAACAATGACATCACTTGTGGATCAGCAGCCATGGCTGATGATATCATCTCATCAACATTGTCTAACTTTGCAGATAATTTATCCAACTCTGAAGCAAGTTCTAGCTGATAATTCATCAAGAACATCATTTCGTTTCTGTAAGAAATGAAATTGGATATGAAAAATGAATCTACCTCGTCAAGAATTTTTGTAGACTTTGAAGGAACTTTGGTAACTTCTAATCCAAGGGCTTCGATTTTGGCACGCAATTCAACTTCTTCTTGGTTAGTTAATGATTCCACCTATACAATTTTCATAAGCACTTGTTAGTTCGATTAAAAATATGTGCACATTGTTTGTTTTGTAAATCGATCAAAGAAATTGGAATGTGAACTATGTTAAACGAAGCTCGCGTTTGTGTTTTAATGAGTTTATGAAGACGATTTGCATCTCAAATTGTGTGAATCGATCGAAACCCTAACAAAAAATCGGTAAATCTAGACTATATAATAAGTTAATAACTCCATGATCTCAAAAACAACCTAATCCACAACAAGCTTATTAGATCAAATCCAGACTCATACGACCAAAATCCCTCTATCTTTTCACAGCTACATCAAATACCAAAATCATAGAGTTGATCGAAATCCAGTAATTTGATGGTTCGAATTCGTATATTCTACAAAAGTGGCAAAATTAAAGAAAAAAATCCCATTTAATTGAGTTCATTAGAATGGAATAAATGAACAAAAGATCATTAATTTTAACCAACGGAATATGGGGAACTTCAGAATCGTCCGAGGAAAATGAAAAACAAAATCGGTAGATAAATTTTGGATGCTTTAACCTGTTGGAGGAGATTAGAGAGGAGGCCGAAGAACTGAGTGTCCGGGAGCGATGACGATGGCTTGTCTTCTTCACCCATTTTTCCTTTATTTTTCTGGTAATTCGATCTTATTCTACCTTTTCCCTCTGATGAGACGCAGGTCTGTAATCTGTTCCCTGATTTTTGTTCTATTTTTTCTTGTTTAAATTCATTTTATATATACATATTACCGGTTGTGGCCTTGTGAGAAGTCTTTTTACTTTTCGTTCTGCTTGCACACGGTAATGAAATATATATAAGTACTTTCTTGGAATGTACAAGTTATATATAACTACATAATTGATATATAAGTGATATAATCATTAAACTTTTTTTTCATTTTTTATTTACAATGAACTATTAAAACTGTTCACATTTTACCCTTATTACCGGTTGTTACTTAGATGTACTCGGCGAGTCAGGTCAACATGAACTGTTGACTCGAATGTTGACTTCTGTTGACTTTAGGGTTTGGTCAAGGCAGAGATTATGGGGACCATGGAAGGGTAAAATGGTCTTTTACCCATTCCAAGAGTTGAGAGAGATAATAACTTAGTTTATTTAGAGTCGTGATTTAAGTGTTGATTAGAGATAATTATCCTATGTGTTAGGCGGATGCTAGTTCGAGATTCGTGTACGACGTTATTCATTTGCTTGCTTACGTGGTGAGTCTTCTCACTATACTTACCTAGAGTGGTAATCTTTGTGTGACCGGAGGGTCTTATGTGCTTATATTGAGTATTGTGATATCCTGCATTATATCTTTGTGATTTATGTTGTGTACTATCCTGAGCTTACTGAGTTAGGACCAGAGGGTCCACTCGAGTTGTGGGACCGGAGGGTCCCACTAAGACACATTGTGTAACACCCGTTTATTTATTAAATAAATAAATTAATTAATGAACAAATGGTAGCCCTAAAATAAATAATTATATATGCATGGTGTTGGGTTCGAGGAGTTAATTGCCACATTTTTAGAAGTCAGGGGTTAAAAGTGTGAGTTCGGGACTCATTTTATAAATACTTATGAAGGCAGGGACTATTGGTTAATTATTGGGACTTAATAAGAAGAGATGTTGGGAGCTAAGGGCTAAATGGTAAATTTTGGATTCATTTTGTAAAGAGTTTTGAGGGCAGGGGTTAGAAGAGTAAATTTTAGATTTGGATTGTAAAGATTAGAGATGGGAGGGGCTGGAAGTGTCAATACTCACGAAGTTGTAAGGGACACGGGTATTAAACCTGTTACCTCCTCCATGCCAAACCCTAAACCTAGTTGCTATGTTCCAGCCGCCATCCTTATGACCCCTTAGCCGGTGCCGCCACACCTCCCGTCAACCGAGTTGTGTGCCATCAGAGATGTTTCCCCCTGACGAGTGCCAACGAACCCGAAGCAAGCCAAAGACTGATCGACTGCCTCGTAGCCATGGTCGGAGTCGCGAGCCAACTGCCAAGCAACCTCAACTGTCGCCGCCGGTGGGTGTAACGATCGATGAAGTCGCAATCTCGCTTTCCTCCGGTGCCACCGTTGTTGATGAGGTCACAAATCAACCACCACAGCTGTTGTAACTGTTCCAAATCGCTGCTATTGTTGTTCTTCTTCTTCTATTCATCTTGTCGCCTGCCGCCTTGTGGGTGGAGGAACTCATGGCGTTTCCTGTTATCACCGGTGAGTGATGGTTTGGTTCAGGGCTCGTGTGCAACGTGGGTGCGCTGTGGGGGAAGTCCTGTCGAGTAGGGTCGTGGAGAACCACCATGGAAGCCGACCATGGTGGCTGTCATCACAATATGCCGCCTACTGCCGCCAACGTACGACCCTAGATCGATGGAAGGATCCGTTTTCAAGAAAGTATGTGTGTGGGTGTTTATTTGCTCGAAAAGGCATCACCACCACCATAGGGTGGTGGCTGCCGCCACTCACCACCGTCGGCAACCAAGGTGGTTATGTGTGTGTATGTTTAGCTTAGTTAGTGGGTGTGTTACTTTGGTATTTTCATTGTAATTGTAACAAAAAAATGGAATAATGAAAGGAACTTGAAAACCACCACCTTAGGGTGGTGGCTGCCGTCTCCTGCCGTCACCGGCCGTCGTGTCGGGTGGCGATGTGCTTGTTTTGTGAGTTGACTCGATTGAGGATGTTTGAAACCCTAATGGGCCCAAAGAAGCTCAAATGTGCCCAATGAAGCTTAATGGACTCTAATGGACCCAATAAAACCCTAATGGGCTTAATAATATTTCCGTGGGCTTAATAGGCCCAATAAAGCCCTAATTGATCTAAAAGCCCAACAAATTAATAAATGGGCTAGTATTTGGGTTGGAAACCCTAATTAGGGTTTGGAAAACCCTAATGCCATCAAAACCCTAATTTTGGGGAATTAATCGAGACACACGGGACTTATTAATAACTTGGAATATTAAATAATAATCATCGGTGGAAATTAATCTAAGAAATATTAGACTTAATGGATTAAGTCCTTAATGGATTGAGCCCTTAATGGGTTAAGTAGGAAACTTAACCCTAATCATCATTTTATGTGAAACCCTAATTTTCACTTAGGTTTATTGTTGGACCTTTCTATTGGGCCTTGATGATTGGGTTATTAAATGGGCTATCCAAGATCAAGCAAAATGGTCTAGAGTAATTTAATGGGCCTAGTGTAAGGCCCATGTAAGGGGATTGGGCCCAAATTTAGAAAATTGGGCCATAGATGGGCCTAGTTTGGGCCTTAATGATTATATGATGTTGGGCCTTAGAATGAGACCATGTATAGGCCTAGGCCCAATTTGGAAAATTGGTCCATGTGTTGGGATTTGATTCCTAATTGACTTTGGGCCTATGGATTGGGCCTTGGGCTTGAAAAAGCCAAGCTAGGGGTAATTGTGACAACCCAAAATTTCCATTATGTACGAACATTATCAAGTCAATAGAAGTTAGAACAATCACAGTAAATTTTCAGACTTTTCCGAATAAGTTTGAGTATTTCAGGATTTACACTTAAGGAGATATCAGGAGAGTGGATGCACTAGAGTTTTGTGCAACTCTGTTATTCCAAAACTCTATTATATTAGAGTTTATTGCGTGAATAAAAATATTATCTGTCAAAAATCCCAGGACTATATATATGAATCTTAGAAATATTATTTCATTATTTCCAATTCCAACTAGAGAAAAGTCATTTTCTCTCTCACGGATCTTCGGGTTTTCGTCCCAAATCGTGAGTATCTCTCTCTAGTTGTATTATATAGCTTGTTAAGTGCTTAATAACATAGAAATCATAAAAAAACCGCAAGATTTGAGAGTTTACCGCCCAAGAACACCTTGGGGAGTAAACTCTTTTATAAGGGTAAAATGATGCCTAGTCCTTTCCCCGTGATATGTAACCATCTTAGGCTTGTATGTTAGTGCTTATAAGGCTAGAAATCACCCATGAACACCAAGAGTAAGGTGTTCACGGCCAAAGAAGTTCTTGGACCGTGAACTCCAAACTCAAGGGACAAAGAGTGCCTTAATCACTCCTAAAGCCTTGGAACAATAGCCTTGATTTACTCCTAGTTATTTAGGGACATTAAATCATCAAATGCCCATACCAAAGAGAGATTACGGCCGTAATCTCTTATGGTTTTGGTCCTTGGTCCGTGAACATCGAAAGGGGGTACCAAAGTGTGCCTAAGGCCTTCATTAGCCTTAGATAATTGTCTAAAACCTATCCTAGATGAGTATGGGACTTGAAAACATAAAACACCCCCTTTCTATATGAGTTTACGACAGTAAACTCAAAAGGAATTGGCCTTGGGGTCGTAAACTCCTCAAGGAGTGTATAAGTGCCCTAAACCCTTCCAAGAATTAATCCACCAAGTAGGAATGCTTCTAGGGATCATTTAGAACTTCAAAACACCAAATGACATTAAGCTTAGGAGTTCACACCCGTAAACTCAAGGGTTTACGACCGTAAACTCCTTGTGTGAGGTTTATTGGAGAGTAAACTCATGTGTGTGGTCCTTTGGAACCCCAAACTCACTACTCGGGTCCTACAACAACTTAGATGTAATCCTTAGGGCTAATAACACTTATTATAAGTGTTTAACATGTTCTAGGAGGTCTAAACAATTTCAATTAGTAGTTAAATCTAATTGGGTACACATATGTGTGATTATATGTTAACTAGGATCATAGCGTGTGTTCAAGACTTCACTTGACACCTAGCAATCCTACATCTTCAGTACATCCGTACCACTTACTATAGGTGAGTTCATACCCCTTAATCAATGATTTAAATGTATTTAAATGCTTTATGGGGGGAGGGGGGATACAAGTTAAATACTTATAGTTATTACATCAATCACATGTGATTAATAACTACAAAACTAGTGATTTCCTTATTGTTCAAATTGTTTATCAAACTGTTTTGCTTCAAACTGTTTTACAAGTTCTTATACTTATTAAATACATTTGCTTAAACTACTGTTTTATTTATTATCAATTGCATGTCTATGTATGTATAGTTATATAAGAAATGTTTAAAGGACTTAGAAAGGCTATCCACCCTATTTCCTTTTCGCGCTTGAGATGTGGTCTGGTGGGATATCGGGTACCCTTCCGAAGGTCGTTTAAATGTAGTTATATATCATGTGTACATATATAGTCATAAAAGGTCATTCCAGTTCATTCGGTACCCTTGGGTAACAAGGGTATACTTCCATGTTCATACGTACCAGTACATCGCTAGTAAGTTACCATAGGGGTAGCACATGAGGATACTATTATTACTAGAACAATGAAACATACAATGAGTCAGTTCATTCATGAATCAATACTTGCTAAATAGAGAGAGAACACTCATTACAGCTAATACACACAATACATTACTATACATGCTAGATAGAGAGAGAACACACATTACAGCTAGCACACACAGAACATTACAGTACATTACCATACTATTACATAGATATGTTTACATGATTTACGCTTACATGAGTACGTTTACATAGATATGTTTACATGAGTGCGTTTACATATACGATAATAGGACAGACATCATTAGGTGCTATAGCATAGAACGAGTTCAGGAACTAACTATACCGATGAATCATAACGCATTGTGATAGTTATATCGGGTATACATGATCATAGTAATGTGGATGTTCACGGCGTGCAAATATGCAGGAGTCGTGTAAAGGTCCCAAAATCCCTTTAATCGGGGGGGGGGGGGGGATCTAGCCATCACATTAGGCCTTATCCCTCAAATAAGGCAATATAAGTACAGAGGTAGTCACTTATTACAAATACTACAATACTTATAAGAATTACCCTAGACTTAAGGTAATTAGTACGGTTGTA